TATTGTTTTCTATTCTATCTGTGAAAAAAGTAAAATTATTTTGTTGAGGTCATTAGTGGTACTCTATAAACACACTCTCTAATCTTGTCCATATGGATTTAAAGTGTGAACATGCATCTATTATTGATAAAAAAATCAGTCTGTTTGCTCGAGCCATAGCGGAGATATTTAGTTTTTTCTTGATATCGTCACTTTTGGGCCATATACAGGGTTGCAACAAAGTCAGTTTACCAAAATAAAAATTGAATATCTCCATTACGGCTCGAGCAAACAAGTTGATTTTACCAATAATAGAGGCATGTTCAAGCTTCATATCCATAAGGACACGCCTAGAGAGACTCTTTGTTAAGTGTCACTATTGATCTCAACAAAAGAAGTTTTACTTTTTGACAGATAGGAGAAAAAAAATATACTTAACAAAGGGTTTCTCTAGGCATGTCTTTATGGATATAAACTTGGTACATGCCTCTATCACTGACAAAAAAAATCAGCTCGTTTGCTCGAACCGTAATAGAGATATTCAATTTTTTTTGGGTAAACTGACTTTTGCGCCACCCTGTATATGTATTTTATTCATTATTCAATGATTGAATTCATTCATAAATGATTATTAGTATGAGTACATACTCGTACTCTTACTTATACTCGAGAAAATCCGTACTTACCCAGCTCTGCTGTTGACATATTCAACTCGATTCGATTTATTAGACAATAGTTCTGCAGATTCATTTTCGTATGTATCTGCCTTTCGACAAATACATCCATTGACCTTTTCATTCTGTGCTGACCCATCAGTTTTCTTTTTTGTATGTAACATCAAGTGTTCTTTAAGCTGGTGTTGCTTATTGACGGACGGTAGTGTAAAATAGTGAGGGCGAGGAGGAATACCTGCTAAAGGAATATCCTAATATCACGCTGAACGAAGTGACCATTGTGCAGTTTTGCGAAGATTTTGTGCGATCTTTACAGTTTCATATGCCATTCGAGAAACTGAAATCTTGTGTAAGACAAAAATTAACCAGGTATTCGAAGTGCAAACTCGCTCATTACAAGCTTGAGAAAAAAGAAGGATCTGCACGCATTGTCGGAAGACAACTGCAAAGAAAATAAAAACCTTTTGTTCTGATTATGACAAATTTTATTCGCTGGTTGCTTCAACGAGAAGCATCACGCTATGTAATAAATAATTCAAACAATAGTGAACCTGAGCAAATAACTCATTAAATTAGAATGAATTTATAACATATGACTTTAAGAAAATTAATTTCAAATAAAACAAGTGTATTCAACGAACAATTTTTTTTAGTTGTTTTTCTTTTGTATTAAAAATAGGTACCAAAATTGAATTATTTTACTTTAAAAACATTAATTAAAAATGATTTTGACTTGATCTATTTGAAATGGATTCTTAATAATCTTAATCATACTCGAAAATTGAAACTTCATCTTCAAATTAATAAAATCTATTCACTCTCAGATACAATAGTTAAAGAATACGTTGTTGATGCAAATTTTATTCGTCAATATTGTTTACCTGATATAATAACAAATATAAAAGATTTTTGCTTTTATATTGTTTCTCAATGTCAATTATTATCGAATCAGATTGAAAAAATAATAAATTCATTTAAGATCGATGACTTTTTTATTTCACATCATTTGACAAATGTAATTTGTTTCTTTGATCCATTTAATTCATATCAACATCTTTCTTCTTATATTAATGTTAATAAACTTCAATTTATGAATGGTTTAGTGTAAGATAAGCCGTTTTTTAGAAGAATATATAAAATTTTTTATTTTAGTTTTCATCCAAATATTTTTACGTGGCCACATATTCAAGATGTTTCCATTGATTTACATCCATCTCTTTTTCTATTGCTTGAACGATTTGATGAAATATTTCCTAATGTTTCTAATATTCAAGTTTATACAGGTTAATGTTTTATTTTTTGAATTGATAAGAAAATCTTCTTTGTAAGATAGAGTTTCATATGAGTAGATTACCAGTTATATGTTTAATTTATACGGAAAAGAAAAGAATAAAAAAAATATGGATTTTTATTGAAACAGATATACACATGATAAACAACAAGATTTATCGTAAATATAATATATGGGTAGATTGAGCTGATAATGTACCTTTACATTTCAAAGACAAAAACCTTTATAAATAAATTTCTATTATATAAGTTTGAACAAACTTTTTCCCTGCATACTCTTTAGTATCTGTTCTAGTTACTATAAAAATTTGAAATCTTTTCTTCTTTGTATGGCTCCTGAATTATGAACAAAAAAGTGAAAAATGACTGATTTTTGGTGTCATCTACTTATTAAAATGACGTCCCTGTCTCAAAATTTAAATTGAATGAGAATAATTCTTAACGACTAAAATTTAATTGCGCAATAAAATAATATGGAGGAGCCATGATCAAGTTTAGCGGTAATAAAATTGACTTAGGAATAATTAAACCAACTAAACAATAATTTATTAAAACTAAAAGTAAATGTTACATAGGATGGGTAATATGGCCTGATTCTTTGTCTTTCTTTTGTTCTACTATATCGTACAGATAACAGGAAAAAGACGATATGTGAAGAAAGGGGAAAAAACATATGTGTACATACATGAAGAGAACAGAGAGAGAAGATATATGTGAAATGAAGAGGATGATTTCAATTAACCTCTAACATGTACATATAATCTTCTTTATTTTCTTCCATCTCTTGGTTTCTTTCCAACCGCTCTCATCTCTTTGTGTTTCCGAGATTTTTCCCTCGCGTTTCATGTTAATTTCCAAATCATTTTGGATTTTTCTCTCATTTATTCACTATATATATTGCCATCATTTATAAAATAAAAGAGAAAGGGGATGGTCAAAAATGAAGGATGTTTCTACATGCTGGAAATGATATAAAACGAAAGCACTCGACGAGTAAATCACTGATTCAATGTCCATTTGTCAAGGTCTTGTCCCTTTTTTTCGGGTGTTGTCTAAAGTGGCAAATACCTAGGTCTCCATCTGACTGGTGCAGTCGGTATCCAAAAACACTAGAGAAAAAGGGACAAGATCTTGACAAACTGACATTGAATCAGTGATTTACTCGTCGAGTACTTTCGTTTTGTATCATTTCCAGCGTGTGGGAAAATCCTTATTTTTGACCACCTCCTTTATTTTTTATTAGTGAGATCGGTTTGCCCGTTAACAAATATACAAAACCATATGGGACTTGTAGGTTTAATTTATTTGACACATACAAGTCTGTTTACTTCAAAATATGGTGTGTATGTTTGTCGAACAATGTCGCAGAGTGGAGAAAAGGAACTTGCACTTGTCTATCATTCCTGAAAAATTACATCTGTAAGCATATCATTGGGCTGTCTATAAGACTGAAATATTGCAAAGCTCCACCAGAGACAAAAAAATGTAGCAATTGGTGCAAAAAGAAAGCGAGGCGGACCGTCTAAAGCTAAAAAAGCTTTGGTCAAACAGTAATTGTTTTATTATTAAAATATACATTTTTTTCCTGCTAATATGTAAATTTATTCTTGCTCGAATATATATTTATTACTGCAGTTTAATGAATTAATTATTATTCATTTCGTAATATAAAATTGCTCAAAAATATTTTTTTTATTGCTCAAGAATTATTGCTAATTCGTATTTTTAATTATTGCTCACTTCAATTTTTAAATTGCTCAAATAAATACTAGCCATTTTTAACAGCTTGTGTGTAGCTAAGACTTTTCTGTTTCTGACCGTATAAATTGATCACATTTTCAATTTCAATTTGTTGATCAAATCTGCTTCCAAAAACTACGTAAACACACGCTATGACTATTATATGTTCCGAGAGATTAAAACGATAGATATTTAGATAAAATATCATTCAGTTTTACCCACATTGTACCTTTCTTGTCTTCAATGAACTCATCTCAAACTAAGAGACGTTCTCAAACACTTGCTGAGTATTCGCTTATTTCGAATGCTTAAGAGCGATTTATCCTTCTGTCTAACAAAATTCAACAATAGATTTAAAGAAAAATCATATTTATTTTTTTTTATAGAATCGTATGTAGATCTTAATCAGACAAGTGTGTCTATGTCATTAAGAATACCGTTCGAAATAGGACAACGTAAAGTGACTGATATTCAATTTCAAAATGTGACAAGACTTAATTTGGGCTTTTGTTATAGTCGTATGATTGGTAAGTATTAATTTATTTCTTTTTCTTTTAAATTAAGTAAGGGTACAGTCTAATTTTAATCTAGTATATAAATATAAAGGACTAGCGGTAGTACCCGGCGTTGCTCTGGAAATCACCACACTGAAAACTTAACATGTCAGAAAACGACAGAAGATGTAGAGAGGGTGTACTTGAGAGCTTTCCATCTATTACCACTACATGTCCCGTCGTGCATACCCTTACATCCATGCTTAAATACGATAATTCAACAAATAGTGTGTGTATGAGTGTCTTTCTCTTCACTCATGTCCATTGCCATACCTCACAGCAACATTCAGTGCAAAAAAAGTAACAGTAAGAGGTGGATATTCTAACAATCGTAGCAAATTCTCTGAAACTTTTGAAAGACTGGTGAAAATTGAAGTATATCATAGCCTGTGGGGAATTTCACCCAAACTCCTCTTCTCACCATTGTTGCTGGCACCGGCCTTGTCTTAGCCTTTCTCTGGACCAAGGGGTATGCCACGGGAACTTTGGTGACGCTAGCTATTACAGGGACAAAATGTACAGGGTTGCCGAAAATGTTTCGCTCTGGGGTTACAGCTCCAACGACTGAATAATATCAACATTGAATTTTATACCAAATGAAAGCCTATCAAAAATGGGGTTTATCCATACGAATGAATAAGGGCTATAAAGACTTTTCTCTATCGAACTTTGATAATTTCCAGAAATGTATGAATCACAGTCATAGCAAAACTTTCTTTTATCATAGAGAACTCAAACTATCTCTGATATAAAA